CGCTAGAGGAAGCGATGGCGTTACAACAGCAGGGTGGTAGGCTAGCCTTTAGATCTGAGAACACGAGAAGCGTCACTCGAGGCCGAGACAAAAGACGAGGAGATTCCAATCGGAGAGTCTATAGAGAGGGGCCGAGAGAGGGGACTAAAGGATACACGTCTGGGATGTTGTAGTGGACTCCACGAGTCAGTCGTCCCCGCGAGGCCTTTTGGTTGTTGTTTTTTTTTGTTTTGTTTTTGTTGTTTGGGTTTTTCTTCTTCGCTTGCTTGTGGGCCGGCCGGCGTGGAATCACTACTCACTCCTGTCCTGTCCTGGTTACGGCTGGGCGATGAGTCGCTTTTTTATAGCAAAATCCGGATAATATTAAAATGTTAGTGTACCTCTTCGGCAAATATTATGTTATGATGAATCGCTTCGGCAAGTGGGTTAGAACCACTTCCACAAACAAACGGGTTAGCTAGCACTACTTTAACAAATGGGTGCACCCACTTCGGCGAACGGGTCAGGAAAGAGAGTTAGTTAAGAGTCTGAATTCGGGTAATGTTTCATTGAGAATTATCCGGTTATCCTTATAGATTATCCGGTTATCCTTATAGATTATCCGGTTATCCTTATAGATTATCGGTTATCCTTATAGTTTATCCGGTTATCCTTATAGATTATCCGGGTTTTGCCCACCTCTAGTCCTCATGGGCCCCGTCGTTGGGATTCCAGCACTCACTCACTCACTCTCACTCTCACACGCCACCCAGACACGCGCGCGCGCGACAGATCGAAGCTTTGAAGAGTGAGCCAATATCGGGGACGACGGAGTCGCGAAGAGAGGCAAAGGGTGTCATTTCCCAAACTGCTCATTCTGTGGATTTGAGGGTCGAAGGTTCCGTGGCTTAGGGGCATGATGAGAGGAATGTTGAGTGAGAGAAATGTTGGGTGAGGAGGGAGGGAGGGTAGGGATGATAGGAGGGTATGGATGATAGGAGGGTGTGGAGAGGGGGAAGAGGGGAGGGGAGGGATGATAGGAGGGTATAGAGAGGGAGGATAGGGATGATAGCAGGGTGTGGGTGATAGGAGGGTGTGGAGAGGTGGAAGAGGGGAAGGGAGGGATGATAGGGGTATAGAGAGACAGACAGACAGAAAGAGAGAGAGAGAGAGAAAGAGAGAGAGAGAGAGAGAGGGAGAGAGAAAGAGAGAGAGATAAGGACGATAGACAAATTATGTTTGATAGGATAGATCGAAGATGCAGCCACCGAGTCACCAGGTATTGAACCTGGGCGGTTGACGGGTGCTCTGTGTCGGTGCTGGCTTGCTTCTTCTCTCCTACCACTGCCAAACATTTTTCTATTGTCCTCATCTCTCTTCTACGTTCGGCTTTCGTTTTGTTTTGTTTTTTGTTTTTGTTTTTTCTAACAGTCTTACAACGCCTCTAATCTTCAGCACTTATTTGACATTATTGTGTTGCAAGAGCCGTAAAACTCTTACCAAACTAAACTAAACGAAAGTCTCTGGTAACACCTCTAACCTTCTGCGTGTATAATAACATGATCTATTTGTACTGCAAGTGCTTTAAAAAAAAAAAATAAT